TTGTGTATATATATATATATATATATATATAATAGTATAATTATTTTGTAATTGTAAGGCTGTTTAAAAATATCTAGAAATTTGACCCTAAAATCTTGATGTTTTGATTTAAAAAAATGTGTTAATGGACAAGTAATGTTTTTGACATAATATAATATAATTATATAGTATATAGTATAATTCTAATCTTTAAAGCTCCGATTTTACTTATTTTGTATGCTTTTTTCTTATTGCATTTAGAGGGCATCTGTCAGACTTAGCACCGCCCTGACCAGTCAGACTGCTAAAGATCTTCAATGCAAATCAATTACAACAGATGAAGAAGATCATATTTCCCATTTAAGTTGAAGTCATCCGCTTTAAAAGTGCTCCTCCCTGAACCCCCCTCCCACAGCCTCTTCTGTGAAAGCTGTTTTTGCCTTCAGTGTAGTAACCTCAACTTCACGAATGAGATTTCACCAGGCTCGGATACAAATGAAGCATTAAGCCCTGGTAATAGTACTGGGGAGGGGTCAGGCTTTATTAATGTCCTATCAGGGGAATATCTCAACGATCGGAGACAGAGAGCAGGCCGCTTTCCAAAACACTGGCTCCCCACCCCGAGCTCAGCAAATGAACAAATATTTATGTATGAGCATATTTTTGAGATTCAAAGGCATTTCAGCCCACCTCATCAGAGTAACGAGTAAATAATGAACAGACTTAACAATGACAGCTGCAATTTATGTATGTGAACATTACACGCTTTTTAATTTAATGATTTAAGGAATTATAAATATTACGAGGCACTTGTTTTGACTTGAAGGTGAAGTCATTCTTTTATTAATTATTTGAAAAAAAAAAAACGTTTTCCTGTCCCAGCTTAATATGCAGAAACGTACATGCAGTACACTGCCATGTGTAAGTTTGGGGTTGGTAAGATGTTTTAGTCATTTTGAAAAAGTCAGTTATTCTTAAATAGTATAAATAGTATAAATAAAGTAAACACACACACACACACACTGGAATATTGTGAAATATTATTACAATTTAAAATAACTGTTTCTATGTTAATATATTTTAAGATGCTACTTATTCCATTGATGCAAATCTGAATTTTCAGCAGCCGTTACTCCAGTCTTCAGTGCTCAAGCAACATTTCTGATTATTATTAATGTTGAATACAGTTGTGCGGCTTAATATTTTTGTGGAAAACATTATATCTTTTTTTCAGCATTGAAAAAGTAAAAAATAAATAAATAAAAACAGCATTTATTTGAAATAGAAATATTTGTAACATTATAAATGTCTTTACTGTCACTTTTGATAAATTTAATGCATCTTTGCTGAATAAAGGAATTTGTAAAAATTACTGGCCCCAAGCTTTTGAATGGTAGTGTATATAAGCCATTTGTAAGTTGATTTAATTTCTAAAAAAAAAAAAGAAAAAAAGAAATAGCAACATTGACTCAACCAATAGCGTGCATTTGGGGCAGGATCTGTTTGCCAACCAATGGCAGATGTGTTCGTGACTCTTTCAAACCTGTTTGAAAGAGTAATTTTTGGTGATGCTTGTGGTGCAACATCACCTTTAAATACATAAATATTTATTTATAATTAGATTTTTTTTTTATTATATTGTATTATTTAATTATTATAATTATATTATGTTTAAATAATTTAATTTAATGAATATAAATGAAAGTATTCCTTTGTTAAATTGTAATGTGGTAAAATAAAGTGTCAGATTAAGTGCTTGACATCGGTTTCTGCTTGAGGATAGGGATGCATGCATTAGCACCCTATTAAAAATAGACCACCTGCATTTTAATCTTCCGTCCTTTACTTCAGGCCTTCATCTCTCTCTGAGGCCCATGTGTCCACTGATCCAGGCATGGAAAGATGATCAGCGTTTGCGTCAGTGGACCTGGGCTGACGGTTTGATTGATAGGTGGACGTGCAGGGTTGGCGTGGAGGTGCGGGCCTCCTCCTTTCGGGCTGCGCACGGCTCCTCGGTCTCTGTCAGTCCGTCGTTTGCCACGCGTTCTAATCGATGCTCAAGTGCGAGAGTCAGGATGGAGGCTTCTATCGGCTGAACCCTGGGGAGGCCCGAGGGGGTTTGACTGACAGGTCAGGGAAAGAGGAACGCAGCAGTTGCCAAGGCGAGCCGTACCCCCAATAGCGTGCATTTGGGGCAGGATCTGTTTGCCAACCAATGGCAGATGTGTTCGTGACTCTTTCAAACCTGTTTGAAAGAGTAATTTTTGGTGATGCTTGTGGTGCAACATCACCTTTAAATACATAAATATTTATTTATAATTAGATTTTTTTTTTATTATATTGTATTATTTAATTATTATATTCACGAATGAGATTTCACCAGGCTCGGATACAAATGAAGCATTAAGCCCTGGTAATAGTACTGGGGAGGGGTCAGGCTTTATTAATGTCCTATCAGGGGAATATCTCAACGATCGGAGACAGAGAGCAGGCCGCTTTCCCTGCTTTAGCAGTTGCTAAGGCGAGCCGTACCCAGTAGCGATTGGTAGCCGCAAAAGCAGACGGTGCCTTCTGGGGTCCCCCGCTCTGTGCCAGATTCCAATTGTTGAGGTGGCAGAGCAGAGAGGGGCAGATAATAGAGTTCATGGCACACAGGGCATGAGAAAACAAGCCAAATATCTCTCTTCTAACACCTCTCAGTTATTTCCTGTTATCTCTCTTTGTAACAGCTCTAATTTCCTGTTTGTGTTTCCTGTAGTCTTTATCGTTTTACATATTTTATTTGGAATTATTATACACTCTTCGTATTCCCATGTAGGAAAATGTTGTGATTCACATGCAGAACTTATAAAATTAGACACTGCGGTGACTTTTCAATGTTATGTATTTATATGGAATGTGATATTATTTGTGAAGGTTCATGTGAAACTGCCATTTCATCTTTCTGCAAGCTCATATTTTGAATGATTATTAGGGTTACAGTACATTAATCTCTCTGTCTCTGTCTCTGTCTCTCCGTCTGTCTCGTAGTGGTGTGGGTTTGGCAAGAGCCCATTATGAGAAACAGCCTCCCTCGAACCTGCGCAAGTCAAACTTCTTCCACTTCGTTCTGGCCCTGTATGACCGGCAGGGACAGCCCGTCGAGATCGAGAGAACCTCCTATGTGGAATTTGTGGAAAAAGACAAAGTAAGCACTCTGTCACTAATAGATGCCGCTACACAGTGCAACAGGATTTGTAATATGCTGGGGTGTTGCATATTGAACGTGGAGAACATGCTAAGAATGTACTGTGCAATGGTATAATAAGTTTTTAGATGCATTTTTGGTCAATAAAAAAGTTTACCAGACCCTCTGCAACAATGTTTAATGTTTATATATATATAAACATTTATATCTCTTATATTAGCAATATATTTGAGCAATATATCTGAATGTAGTTTTTTTAGGTTAAAAAAATGTAAGTAAAAAAATAAAGTTAATACCTCTTTTTGATCATACACACATACATTATTTGAAAAACTACATAAAATATTTCCTAAAAAATTCCCCAAACCCTCTGAGTTTTTAATATATGTGTGTGTGCGTTTTTCTTTACTTTCTTTTTTTAAAATTTAATCAATATATAAACAAATTAATTTGGTGAGAAATATTGGTAAGATATTCTATATTTTAAATCTATTCTATATTACATTATATCTTCTCTTTCTTTATGCAGTTGCACTGGGTTTCAAACTCACATTATCACACAGTATTGTGATTCTCAGTACCAAATAATACGTCTAGGGGGCACCCATGAGACCACTTTTTGTCATAAGAATTGCATGAACAATATTAAATGTAATGTTCTTTTTTTAATTTGAATTTATTATAAAATATCCAGCTTTTCTAACAGAGGATTGTTGATTGGCTTTTTTTTTTTTTTTTTTTTTTTTTCCTTTTTTTTTTTTTTTTTTTTTTT